TAGAAGTTGATTAGAACAGAAGCCTCCCATGCATCTCCCATGAGACCTCCTGACCAGGAGATTACTGGCTGTTCTGCGTTGACTGTGTCTTTGATGAAATGAAGACATGCCTATGAAAATGTTTGCTTCCAGCAAGTAAGCATTTCATGTTTCTTTTGTTTAAAAATCTGGTTTTATGGAAGATTTCCTACTGAGCCCTTGTCAAGATTTTGTATCTTGCTTTCTCCGGTGAAAGTCTCTGTAAGACCTTCCTTTTAGAATGAACCACAAACTCATCTTTCAAATGTAAACAAAATCTCTGTACAGCTTCTTCCAAAATCTAGTCTAATCAAGGCTACAGTTCCTTGACTTTACACTCCCAAGCACACGCTGCCTGAGAGGAAGCTCAGACACTGAGTTCACTGCCTTTTTGAGTGAAAAAGAAAAGAAAGAAATACTTCTCTAGCGTAAGGAAAAACTAATGAAAAGGAGAAAGTAAGTGGAAAAGCTGAAAATGAGAAGTTGGACATACAGGGTGTAAAAAGCATTAAATCAAATTAAAATCTAATCAAAATTTCTACCTGCAGCTACTTTTCAATTTAGCTATTCTTGCTTAGTGCCAATTGGTGTGGACTATGTTTCTGCAGGCTAACTTCTGTTTTGTTAACAATTCTTCTCCCAGTCAAGCCTGACCTACCTGTATTTCTCCACTTGCTTCATCCCAGGGCTCTCTTGGCAGAGGTTTTAGCAGTAAGGAACCAAATAAGCAATCGTGTGTATGAGGTGTGAATCGACTTTGCTTCAGTAAGGTCAGAATACCTGCAAACTCAGTCAGTGCTATTTATGCAAGGTTTCATCAGTTTACTTCTGAAGTAAATAGTAAAGTGAAATGAGGTACAGCACTGTCTTTGAATGCAGAGCATTATTTTACACCTCGTTAGGTCTGTTTTTCCTACTAATGCAGCAGTGGCAATTGGACAAGTAAAAGACTGATGGGATGAACAAAAGTGGTGTTCCTTTCCTGAGCATGCCAAATCCATTTGTAAATGTGACATTAAAAAAAAACCAACACCCCAAACCACATGGCAGAAGTCAGGCCTCGCAAGGAAAACCTGCACTACAGCAGTTGCACAAACTCGTGCATCTCTTTAATTAATGTTTCAGACCTTCCTTTCCCTTGACATTAGAAGAATCATTTGTCTGTGCAGCTAATTTGCTGGTTTACTTAGAAGATTTCTTCAAGGAAATATGCAAAATATTATAATTGTGGTTGGACTTCTTTTCTGCTTTTGACAATTTGAAGTTTATATAAATGTTCAAAACCACTCGATCCTGTTACTTAGCAAGGCCTTTATTAGTCTCTCTTAAGTAACAACTGTTATGCTTGTTTTGGGCCCCACTGGTCCTAGCACAAGCTTATGCTCCACCATGAAGGAACTGTCCCAAGCATGTGTCCAAGATGCCCTGTGAGAATAAGTTGTG